ACAGTTGTCTTGGATCTCACGCAATCCAATTGGTTGCATTCTTAAACCTCTCAGTCTTTATCGTTTTCAACTTTATTTCTTATAAACTTTCTGCAATTGAGTTTCCTTCCTTTCCTTACTGAAGAGCACGAAGGAGGATGCTTTTGCTCGGCTTCCGTCTAAGGGCACGTGCGAAACGGAAGCTGAGCTATCTCTTTGCTTTCGACCCCCTCAATAATTCTCATTTATTAGATTTTACAACATAGTCCATTATCTCATTTTCGATGGTTTTTTTTCGAACTAAAATATCCCAGAAGTAACCAGTCGTATGCTATGTTCGATGCCACTCCTACTCCGTCTCAGGAATAAGGAGTGTAAAACGTAATGTAGCCCATACCGATGCAGTTTCTTGGACCAGCACTGAATGGGATATATGCATAGGGATGTCTCTTCTGAATATTCTCGTCGCTGAATCTCTCGGGATCGAACACTTGCGGTTCTTTGTAAACCTGAAAAGATTGATCGTCTCACCTTTCAGAAGGGACCATAGGGTCCAGCACATTATCGACAACGCCCTTTTATTCTGTTTTCGCAAAGTGCAATCTGACGTAAAGAGGCTCATCTACAAAAACAGTGCACATAGGGATGGAACTCAATTTGGAAATCCTATTAATATTCTTCTGTGCCAACGAGGTTTTTAGGTGGAACATTGTTATGGGCCTAACGTTTCGACCGGATCATTCCCCTCAGAGACCTGAACCTCAAAATTTATTTTGACTTCTGAGCTGTCTAACGCTTTACGCACTTGGCGTTTCGGACAGAACCTTTATATACTTTAAATCTCCTGCAACAAAAGTTTAGACTCCAATCAGATACGGAATCTACACTCTACAAAAAAGTTTGCTCTGATATCAACTTCCATATCAAACGTTTTTTTGCAAACTATGAGTCTCGATTGATGAAAAGGTCTTCCACCAAGCCGTTTTTTAACTATATGCGCAGTAAACTCAGGAAACAGCAAAACATCATGACATTAGAAGATGATGCTGGCAATATATTCATAAATGACGCTCAAAAGGCAAATGCGCTTGCCAAACACTTTTCTAGCGTATTTTCGCCAGAAAATAATGTTGATACCACGTATTTACATGGACGCCCCTATCTTAGTCAAACACTGAGGAACCTCACTGTGGATCCAAATGATGTATTTAAATATTTGAAGACACTAAAACCATCGATGTCTGCCCCATATGATGGTATCCCCCAAGTACTGTTGAAGCGTTGTGCTGCAAGCCTCTGTAAACCACTTACCGTGAAATTCAACA